GCCTGACAGACATTCAACTTTGAAATCACGTGTGTTCTTGTGGCAGACATTTTCTTGCGGTTGCGGAATTCAGTGATAACTCACATCCGCGGGGAAAGAATTGTCCGATTTCACGCTGTGGGCATTTCGGTTTTACACAAAATCTCATTGGTTACGAGATATGAATATCCACAATTGGGGGAGAAAAAATTTGTAGACTGAGGGTGGGACTTGGGTTTACATTTGTTTGTGTTTTCTGTCGTAACGTTGAAAAGTGTTCAGTGGTGCAGTAGAGATGGTGCATCTGCGTTTATTAACACTACTATATGAAAATATAAGTTACATGTATAACGAACTAATTAGAGTGTGGAAAAATTTATGGTGGCCATCTTGGAAAATGGCCGCCATTGTTGCCATGGGACAAATATGCGATGGCCCTATAGCCAAAAAATTTCCTTAGGGCATGCTCTAACAGTGTGCCAAAACTCATGCTTGTATCATAAAAATCACAATTCATTCACAAATCTGCCGGGCTATAGGGGTTGTGAGAGATGTGTAATGTATTCATCTCCAATTAGTATTAACACGGACAATAGTATAACTGGGTCAATCGCGAAATTGGCAAAAGTTTATTTCACCTGCTCTAAATGACTATTAGTAATAATTTGTATCATATACATCATCTATACAAAATGTATTTCATCAAGTGGTGTGATGCTCTTGAAGGTACATTTTCAATCGAAAGTGTTAGCAAAATTACCACTTGAATTTTATACAAGCGTATATATTTATAGAGAAAATGTTGCCGTTCAGTATGTGCAGCACCATCACATATTTTTAATTTTAAAATGTAATGTCAACAAAAGGTGCCTTTCCCACCCACATATAAATGTGTAACTTACGTGAATTGCTTGATTAACATATCTAACTTAGGCAGATCTGCCTAACAAGCATGCTAATGTAACCTAGGAGACTAGAACGGTACGAACGGGAACGCCAAAACGGTTACGTCACTGCCTCTGGCCACCGGTCAAGTATGGGACGGAACTTATACCTACATAGTACGACTGACCTAGTGGAGGGAGAACAAAAGCAGCTTAAACAATAAACAAAGGGAGACGACGGGTACGCCTGTCGACCTAAGGCACTAAGGTCGGCCGCGGACGTCGGGCAGATAAATAAAGCGAAGGTAACAGAGTAAAGATATAGAGAGTGTGCTAGGACCAGCCGAGACGAGGCGGGCCGAGACGGCTCCGACGAGATGGCATGTATACGTAACTATGGTTTTTCTTGGTATGTTAGTTTTGATTGTACAGACTGTTTAGATTGTTGTTAGAGGAAATAATATAGAGTTCGGTCGTGATAGTATTGCTGGTTAGTAGTATAGGTTAGCGGGGTTATGAGTATATATGTCGCGGGGATGGATTAAGCGGGACGTAGCTGTTCACAACGGTAGCAACAGCGCTTGTAGGCAAGCGCTGGGTAGTCCTTAGAATCCATGACGAATTTATAACGATTGGGGTGTTGAGAGCGAAGTGTACTGTGATGGAGAGATATTAATTAATAAATGTTATGCTTGTAAGGATTATCTAAATTACTGTGTTGCGTTGTCTATCACGTCCTGGTTGTTATATCCTCGAGCGGGGTTATTCCTTCGCAAGGTGCTAAAACATAAATACGATCACGCCGTCGCGCGGGGCTTAATTAAAGAAGCACGCGGTGACACTAATGTTGATTAACAGGTTTAGGAGATTTTAAACCTGCATCAACAAAGGAGCGTCGCTTCATTGCATGGCAGACCTGGGACCTACTCAGGATAGCAGTGTTTTGGTTTTAAAGGATTAAGCGAGGACTTCTTCTCCAGACATGGCCAGGCATTTTATGCCACCGCTACGCGTAAACGGTAGTGCAATCGAAAGTTTATTTTCAAGGCTAAAGGCCTACTCTGGGAGAAAATTAACAAGTATTAGTTATAAAACCTCACGCAAGAGCATCATTATACAGGACCATGAAAAACATCCCAGTGTGGAGGGTTACCGAGATGTACCACACGAATTTCTCGAATAATACATATTAAAATATACATACACGCTCCCAACCAAATCAACAGCGGTCCTCTAATCAACTGTGAGGATGGCACCCCCCATTATCAGCACATTGCCCCATGTCACCCTTAAGCATCTCTTGATGCCTAGAACCTGTCTTCACTACCGATTAACAACTTACTGCTAAATAGCTCGCAATGCTTGAGTATGTCTCTGCTACAAACATCAATATGCCTGCTCGTCCACCAATTTCTTACTAGATAAGCAAGTACGGAAAACCACTACTCTGTGCTACTAAATGCACCATGAAACTAGTTATCTAGTATTTTAGATCGTACATGTATAACACATATACTACACTTGTATGGTTTCATGTTTTGTCTTTACTTACTTTTATAAGGGTTTTTCCATACGATGACAGCCCTCGTTCACATGCATGTAAGCGGACTGTCCTGTCAATGCTTCTCAGCCAAGGTAGCATAACTCGCTGAGGTATTAATAGACCACCTCGGTCATGCAGCGCTAGTCCATGTGGCAATTCTCCCTGTTATTTTTGTCTTTTTGTTCTGACACCAGCAATTGATGAAGTACACTTGGTACATAGTGGGGCTTTACATTAGTGTTTTGTGAGTACAGGAGACCATTGCGAGGTTTTCCAGACCAACTTGAAAAATTAACCCCACAGGGAAATTTGAGTGTCTTAGTCATACGTTTGTCTAGGACGATTATGTGTCCATCTGTCTTTCTTTTGTATAAATACGCCATCTAGTGAGTAACATCGTTTGCACATGCGCAAAAATGCAGCGCATGCACAGTTAGTAGCCTGCCTCGTTTTGGTGCTCAACTTCAAGATTGATGTGACGACCAAGGTCAGTAATTTTTTAGCCATTCAAATGATTCATTATGCCTAAATCTCTATTTTGAATATCTCAAAATGTAATATATAGGTAAAGTTTGTAGTACCCATTGTATATTGCAATGTTTCGAATTTTTCAACCTAGTCAGGGCTCGACACTAGCGCTGGCGAAATGGCCCGGGGCCAGTAAAACTGAACGTCGGGCCAGCAGAATTCCAGAAATGCTAAATTTTGGTGGCCCGATGGGGCCACTAAACTTTCCAAGTGACTATATGAGAAAAAGTTTCATTTTCTTACGTGAAAATCTTGTGCGTGTGTACGTACGGTATGCGTGCATGTATTTGTGCAACTACAGCGTGTGTGTACGTGACTACGCATACGTGTACATGAGCCGCGATAGCTAGAACAATACGAGACAATAGTTACAATACAATGCGCGTGACCGCTGCAATATGGTGTGATGCGATGTATGCATACTATACGGTAGTTTGGGTCTCGTGTGCGAGAGAACTTTACGCGTAAACATATAATTCGAGTCATCTGCATATAAAGCGAATGCGTGTCTTTTCTGTTCTAGTTTCTGTTTGTGTTCCTGGAACAGTTAGCATTCGTCATTGGTCCAGTGCATTGTAGCGCGCAGTGAAATAAATCGATATAATAACACACAAACAAGACATTAAAGGGATCACACGACAGTGATATATCTAAGAATAGTATTTGTGGAAAGTGTGACAAACTCATCACTAGTACCGTAAAATCCTTGAGGTGTGAATTCTGTCGTGTTTGGTACTGTGTGCCCACATGTTCAGCTGGATTGGCTGAACCGATGTACGACTTCTTAATCGAATATCCTTGTGAGTTTTCACTGGTTTTGTGAAAAATGCAATGGCAATGCAGTTGACACTTTGAACCTTATTAACAACATGAAGCAGAAACAAAACGAGTTTGAGATGAGAATAGAAAAAGTCGAAACAGCTATGGTAAACCTCAGCACGGAAGTGAAGCAGACAGTTCAAAGCGAGGTCAAAGAAGCTCTAGATTCAGAACGAAGACGTTGCAATGTTATAATTAGCGGACTACCCGAGAAGTCTGACTCCAGTGACGAGAGTATTGTCAACGAATTGATCCGGGAAGCCTTAAAGCTGAACGTGGAGATAAAAGATTTGCTGAGACTAGGAGAGCAGAAACCTGACCGAATCAGATATCTGAAGTTGGTACTTAAGGACCGAGATGACTGGCAAAGGATACTACAGAGTGCTAAACGACTAAAATCGTATGAAAAAAGGGTTGCAAGCAGCACTGTTAATTCGTACGACAAATGTATATCCAAGTTCAAAGTTCAGTCATGCAAATATAAGTATTGTTACTATTGTATTTGACATTTATACTTGCAATACAAATTGCAAAATCCATATGCAAGTTCTTATCTTAGTTATACAATACATGTATATATTTCGGATATCTGTATTATAGGCTACCTGATCACACATTGCTACTCCAACTTAGTCACTTTAAGCAGGACTTCAACAATCATTTATTATCCTTACGTACATGTATGGTGCTAATTCACATTACACTTGATCACAGTTTATCTAGTCATTCTGACTTATTATTATTATTGTTTTTTTTAGCCTTTTTATCACATATATCTAGTCATTCTGACTAATTGTGAGCTGGATACATCGCAATTTGATGTCAAATGGTATTAGCTGAAGAAAAAAAAAAATTAACAACAAACCATGGATAGATTACATTGAAAACTAACAGTTAGTGTTGATTAATGACAAAGGTCTCCGGTGCCACGGTGCGGAGCATCTCCACCGTCATAAGGGCCTTCCTCATCCAGCCAGGCCCCAAATTCATGGAGCTGGAAAGATACATCGAGGGTGCCTGCACAGGTATCCGACTGGAATACACTCAGGAGAAGCGCAACAGCTTCATGTGCCAGGTAAATACTATTTAAAGCAAACAAGCTCAATGGCAAACCAAAATTGGGTCTCATCATATGGATTGAAATCAGATTCATATGGGAACTGGTGCCAGTGATTAGCCTTAAATAATCAAGTAATTAGCGAGCAATTATTATGACACTGGGTCACAGACACTGCAGTGTTTACATACATCTGCATTCAGTAAAAAATGAGACGTGCCTCTCTTTTTTCAGGTGTTCCAGCCATATATTGAACATTTGTTGCGGCAGCTGGAGGACCAGTTCCCTGACCTGGCCATCCTAAGCAAGCTGACCGTCATGGACCCAGCAGGGATTGACCACCCTGAGGATGCCGACTATATGGCTACCTATGGGGATGAGCAGATCGATGTAAGTTGAACAACATACAAACCTGGCCTGCTAGAAATTACATGCCTGATAATTCCTGATAGATACATGTTTTATACCTTTCACAGATTTGCTAATAAATTTATCCACATGGTGGTTTGATGACAATAATTATCTATTATTTAAATTGTTGTTCTTTGTCTCTCTATGTCAGGATCTAGTACAACATTTCACAAATCTGGATGGGGAAGCCATGCGCCGGGAGTGGCCAGTCGTGCGGCAGATGTTGACGGAGATGAGGCCAGCCACACTGCAACATGCCCTATCCCAGCTTGCCACCCTACACAGCCAGACACTGCCAAATTTCCACAAGCTAGCTACCATCTCTTTGGTGCTTGCTGCCTCCTCAGCTGGTTAGTAGTTTCTGCTAACACTGGCAAACATATATACAGCTTTGTTTGTGAGAAAATTTGACTTGTACATGCCTAGCAGCTAAGCTGGGGGTTAGAGATAAATAGGTTCAACTTAAAAGTGTGGTGAAAATGGTATAACCTGTCTTTAGCAGCAATACAAAAAACTTCATGTGGCCCACTTTAACCCGATTCATTTTGTTTCAGACTGTGAGCGGGGATTTTCACACATGCGCATAGTGAAAAACTACATGAGGAACAGGCTGAGTGAGTCAGCTTTGGAGGCGCTGCTGCTACTGGCAATTGAGGGGCCACCTCGGCAAGAATTTCCATTCGACCAGGCAGTTGACCGTTGGGCTGCCATGCGCCAGCGTCGAGTAGATGTGACAAAGTAGAGTCACAGTTCCTGCTTATTGCAGTTGATGTCAATAAATGATACAACCATTGCCTTGTGTTATGTTCATTTTTATGTACTTACCCGAAAAAATTACAAGTTGCCTTCAAGTTCTCCCATAGTTACCCCATTAACCCTAAGTTTTAAAAATACAAAAAATATAACAAATTACACACCAGATCAGAGAAAACAAATCAACTCAAACATGTCCCAAAATGCCTCAGAATGCACCACAGAGCATCTAAGACCTCAAAATTTTCTCGGGGGGGTACCCCCTAACCCCCATGGTTTTCGCTCGCTGCGCTCGCGCTGACCTTTCCCCCCCGTTTGAGTTTCATCCTGGGGCAAACCCTGTTTAAGATGGCACACACGCATAAATAGCTATGCAGGGAGACGAAGCCTAACTTTCTACCGCATAGTGCCGCTGCTAAGACGCGAAGCAGACGTTGTCAAGCTGCACCAACAGCTTGTGACCGAGGAACAAGTAGTCATGGACCAACGCCGCCACACAAAACACGTAGAAGGAATGCTTCCCAACTACTGGGAGAAGTATGCAGCTATGGAAATGACTGCCTCACAGCTACTTAAGGCTTGTAGTGCAATATATGGGCCATCAAATGATTAAGTCTGGATGTCAGTAGTTAGTGCGTGTGGCTGACCATGCATGCATACATGTAGCACACTGTTTATTTTACGTGTATGTTTCATTCTCTCTAACTCTCTATCTAATTCGCTCCCCACCTCTCTCTCTTTCTCTCTCTCTCTCTCTCTTCTCTCTTTTGCTAGCTCTCGCTCATTCTCTAGGTCTTTCTCCCTCTCGTATCTCTCTTGCTATCTTACAAATTTGTTACCCAATGTTTGCAATGTCTACAATGCATTCTTCTGTAGATTTTTGTACATGTATGTTATGTATAAATAGAAATTTGGAAGTCAAGCAAAATATCTCTCTCGTTTTACTATTGTCAATGATGTCACAGTGTACTGTCAACCCTCAAGTATAGAGGCGACACAGCAAATTTAACATTGCCAGTGACCATCACGAGTTAGTACTTTGAAAATAATAAAAGTTTAGGGGCAAAGCTCAAAGTTTAGGGGCAAAGCTCTGTCAGACATATGGGATGAACCACCATCGATATTCGTTTTCGCCTAAATTAACACAAAAATTGTGCTCCACTATCCATCTAGGTGCATCTAGATGTTTCTGAGAGTTTTAAGTGTTAGATTGCATGAATTGGTTAATTTTCATATTAGTGGTAAAAATGTATCAAAGTTTTGGAATTGTAATAGGATAATCATAGAACTGTAAAACCGTAGTGATTTCACTGGTTATGGAATTATAACTATTCTAAAAACTGGTCGCTTTTCAATGAATATTAACATAAATTTTTACTTCCTTAGAGTGAGTGCATGAGGATTGAGGAGTGTGAATTTTTATCACTGCCAGTGATAAAAATTCACACTCATCCACTGTCTCTAACAGGAGCACTGTGACACTGGGTCATTAAATGGCAATATGCTAGCCTGACGAGGCTGTGCGACTGATTGTCTATACAATACATGGTCTTGTAACCCTAGCAAGACCGTTTCTTGGACACCGTTGCCACCTTCCGACACTATCCAAAACTATGCCGCCGTCACATACACCCCTCTTTTGAGGAGATGTGCCCCACGTTGGGGGATGCTGAGTTAGGAGCGGGATCACGTGTTGACATGGGTTTGCCTGCAGCACCTGGCGTCCAGGCTCCAGAACCAGAAGTCCTGCTGTTCCACTTCATGAGGAGAGACAAGCTGATGCTGCCCGTGAAGAAGAAGAACACGACGAACAAGATGATGGTGCAGAGTTCGTACCACTTGCCTTGCACGTTGACGGTCACCTAGATGACCCACCGCTGGATGAGCATCACCCTGAATAACTCATTCAGCTGGCAGAGGAAGCGCTGATCGAGGCCGCTCCAGAACCATGCGTGACAAGAAGCGGACGTCGTGTCATTGCTCCCGCCTACTTGGACGATTATGTCCGACACATGAAGCTGTACAGCGACGCGACCCGCACACCGAAGCGATGGCGGATGTCCCGACGGAGGACAACACTTAGACTCGAGGCTTACTAGACGCCACGAGCACGCGATTGCGTAAATGAGGCGTTGGTGTTTGACGCATTTCATGATTTTGTGGAACATGGCAGGGTAGCTGCTTTCTTTTGTAACGTTTACCGCTGGGCAGTTGCCCCTTGTTTTTAGCAGATCGTGTAATTTTGTGTTCAGTATTTTGTATTCCGTGGACAGTGGCAGGGTAGCTGCCTCCTGTTGTAATGTTACCATTTCTCACAAAGTTCTTTGCTATATATGAAGATTGTGTCCAAGCCAAGAGCTTCTACCTGCCGGCAGCAAAACCTAGAGTGGAGGATGGATCTCACCCAGACTATGATGGATGAGATAATGGCGAGCTTTGACTTGCAGGCAGTGGCAACCGTCGACCCCAATGACTTTGTGGTTCGGCATGTGACTCGAGGGTGTACCGGGCGCTGTTCCTGAGGAACTCTGTCAACTTGAGCGTGGTCGAGAGGACCATGGTGGTTGTCTCAGCCACGGTGGTTAAGAACCGCAGAAGGATCCTGGCATCTCTCAACCGGTTCGCGTCGGCGCCCTGGCACACCAACGTCAGAGACTACTTCAGGTCCTCTCCTGTCAGTACACCATGGAAGAGACAGAGAGGTTGTTCTCCGTAATCCACATACCATCGTGCGTCCCGTTTCTTGCCGCGAGTGCCTGGCGGATGACCCAGCTGCCGCCAAACCAAACCGTGGCCAAGGTGGTGGCGAATCTCTGGGCTGCGCAATTCAACCTGGATCCCACCCTTCTGGCCCAGCAGAAGGCGTGGGAGGAAACCTTCTGGACTGACGAACGAAGTACTGGAGAACGAAGGCCTCCAACAACTACCTCGCGGCTACCGGCGTCAACGGCACTTACTACGCTTTGGACGCCTTCATGCCACTCGATGGCTGACCCTGGCCATCTGATGGTGCAAGCGCTGTCGCTCAAACTCCGTGTTTCCTACTACGCCTACTCCGACGTATCTTGTGACGGGAAAACACTGTCAGTAAGGGATTATTGGTGCAGATCTGGGAACCCCTAGAGTCTAACACCACTCCATTCACATCATTGTATGTGGAGGCCTGGGAAACCCTAGCATTTACCACCTGCTCATTCGTCTTAACATCATCCGACGGAAGAATGACAAATAGTGCTTTGATAAGATCCCCCAATTTCTTTTGTTCGGTCGGATGTCTGCGGCTCATGCCATCTGCATTCCCATTATTCACGCCGGGCCGGTACTGGATTTCGATGTCGCCCCATGTGCTTAACTCATTCATCTAGCGTGTCCTTTTCTGTGTGACATCAGCGTCCCAGCGGATTTTGGTCCGTTGCAGCAGTGGCTTATGATCGGTAATAATGGTGTCTAAGCTCCATCCCACACAAAGGGTATATGCTTCTCCGTGAGCTGGATCATGGACTTGGCAATCTTTGCAAATCCCTCCACGAAAGGACGATAGTACGAAGCCAGGCCGACGAAACTATGTACCTGCTTCACCGTCTTCGGCACGTACCAGTCCTTTATCTTCTGGATGTTAAATTGATCCGGTTTGATTTCAAGTCGGCTCACGTGGTGTCCGAGAAAGATGATCTGGTCCTTGCAGAGATGACACTTGCTGGGCTGGAGCTTCAATCTGGCCTCATGTAGGCATTGGAAGACCTCTTCTATGACCTCAAGATGCTCATCAAATGTTTTCGTGAAAATTGCCAGATCATCAAGATACGTCAGCATGACCTTCCAGCTCATGCCAGCGAATGCCAACTCCATCAATCTCTGGAACAGCGGAGGTGCATTACAGAGCCCATAGGGAAGTCTCTTGAAACAATACAATACAAGTTCATCCCAATCGAGAAGGCCGTCTTGTCTCGATGGTCCTTGTTGACAGGGACTTGCCAGTAACCAATGGTCGTCAAGATTGCTGAAGAATACAGCACCCGACATGGATGCTAGTGAGTCATCAATCATGGGCAGAGGGTGGGCATCCTTTCTGGTAACAGCATTTAACTTCCAGTAATCCACACAAAACCGGAACGCACCAGACTTCTATTTCACTAGGACCACTAGAGATGACCAGGGACCGGAGCAAGGCTCCACAACCCCATCTTCCAACATATCACGCACTTGCTCCTCCAACTCGTCCCGCAAGTGGAAAGGAACCCTACGTGGTGCCTGCTTGATAGGTTAGGCATCTCCTGTCTCAATACGGTGCTCCACGAGATCCGTGAATCCTCGATCGTTTGGTGTTTTACTGAAAACGCTATTGTATTTCTTCAAGAGGGACTTCAGACATGGCATCTGGCCCTTCTTGAGTTTACACACAGACAAATCAACAGAGGGAATCCCTTTGCTGTCGACTGCCTCTGTTTCGCTACCTTCTTCGCCCTCTGGTTTGTATTCTTCTATTAGCTCATACGTGCGTCTCACCGTGTTGGATTGTGAACCTCCCAGACAATGGAACTCTCCGAGACACGTACGCTTGCCAATTCCGAGCGGCTCTGGTCCCGGATTCATAATCCGCACTGCAATAAACGAATTTGCCACCATTGCCACGATACGGGACACGATTATTCTTGGGGGTTGCTGGGTTCTAAGATCCCTTCATACTTTTAACTTTGAAAAACCTGGACCATGAGGTAAGTATGCCGGAATGATGACCTCCGTTCTTCCTGGGATGGTGGTGGCCTTCAGGGCTCTGGCTGTTATTGTTGTCGGAGACAATACAGCCTCTAGTAGTAGGAAAGGTTCACCCTGGATGAGGAGCTCCTTCCACTGGGGGTTGACTGTAATGGCATATTCCATCATGAAGTCCCAGCCCAAAATGACTGGACTGTCGATTTCTCTCATTATCCGGAAGGGATACTCCAAACTCAAAGGTCCTAGTCGAACGGGTGCTGCTCCAAGGCAAGACAACTTTTCTCCAGACACCGAACGTATTACTGTTGGTTCTTCAGACAACGTTCCTCTTTCCCCTGGTGAGAACAAATCCCATACATCTTCGCGCATCAGCGAGACATCCGCCCCAGTGTCAAACAACAATGGTATCTCCTGATTGCCCACGTTCATCAGGACCCTTGGAATAATCATTTGAGTCTTCTTCCTTCTCTTCTTGGCTGCAGAGCGACCCTCATCCACAGCACATACTAGTTTTCCGACTGACAGGTACCCCAGCACTCAGCGCTGCGATGTCCGTATTTGCCGCAATTGT